GCTTGGTGTGGAAATTGTGGAATTGTCAGTAAACAACCCCTCTTTCTAGAAACCACCCTGGCCGAGACAAGTGTGACTGACTCAGCTATAAAATGGCAGCTGCAGCGGGCATGAAGTAAAAAGTTAGAGCAGGAAGACCATGGGCAGATGAATGGATAAGGGAGATGTGGTATATTACACAATGGAGTATTACTCAGCCATAAAAATGAATAAAATAATGCCGTTTGCAGCACATGGATGGACCTAGAGATTATCATACTGAGTGAAGTAAGTTAGACAAAGACAAATATATCACTTATATGTGGAATCTTAAAAAATGATACAAATGAACTTATTTACAAAACAAGAAATAGACTCACAGACACAGAAAACAAATTTATGGTTACCAAAGTGGAAAGGGTGTGGGGAGGGATAAATTAGGAGGTTGGGATTAACAGACATACACTATTATAGATAAAATAGATAAACAACAAGGACCTACTGTATAGCTCAGAGAACTGTATTCAATCTTTTAATAACCTAAAATGGGGCTTCCCTGGTGGCACAGTGGTTGAGAATCTGCCTGCTAATGCAGGGGACACGGGTTCAAGCCCTGGTCTGGGAGGATCCCACGTGCCACGGAGCAACTAGGCCCGTGAGCCACAACTACTGAGCCTGCGCGTCTGGAGCCTGTGCTCCATAGTGAGAGAGGCTGCGATAGTGAGAGGCCCGCGCACCGCGATGAAGAGTGGCCCCCGCTTGCCACAACTAGAGAAAGCCCTCGCACAGAAACAAAGACCCAACACAGCAAAAATAAATAATAACCTAAAATGGAAAAGAATCTGAAAAAGTATATATATATAAAACTGAATCACTTTGCTGTACACCTGAAACTAACACAGCATTGTAAATCAACTATACCTCAATAAAAAAAATTTTAATATTAAAAGTAAAATAAAGCGATTTCCCTGGTGGTCCAGTGGTTAAGATTCCATGCTCCCAGTGCAGGGGGCCTGGGTTCGATCCCTGGTCAGGGAACTAGATCTCCATGCTGCAAGACCTGGCACAGCCAAATAAATATTTAAAAAATAAAATTAAAAGTTAGGACATGAAGGTAGAAGATTGGCATACTTCCCCTTTGGATTGCTTAAACTCTCAAGAGTTCTTGGACAGTCTGGTGAGGGAAGATGCGAGAACATAATACTAGGCTTCTCAACAACACAGAATATGAGGACTCAAGCCGATTCTCACAAAAGGAAATGAATCAGTACTTGTGCTCCAAGGGTATAAAGCAGCACATGCCTGCTGCAGTAGAAAAACACACTAGAGAGTGTGTCCAAAATCCTGGATTCTAACTGAGCTCTGCCATTAGATCACTGTGTGATCATAGTCAAATTATTTAGCTCGCCTCTCTGGGTTTTGGGATTGGACAGCATGAGGGCTTCCCAACATTTTCCCCTCAAGAGGCCCAAAGATCCTTACGTGAAGACAGTTGATTGAGAAGATACATGCGTGCAAAGTCCGTTTAGAATCTTCTTGCCACAGCTCCGCTCCCTTGCCATGATTCTGATACTTGCACATTTCAAAACCTTTGATTAGAGGGACTTCCCTGGCAGTCCAGTGGTTAACACTCCACTGCAGGGGGCACGGGTTTGAACCAAGATCTTGTGTGCCACACAGTGTGGGGAAAAAAATTTTTTTTGATTAGACAATAATAAATATAAGAGCTATCACACTGTCCACTCACTAGGTATGAGGCACTGTGCTAATGCTTTACAAACACTTATCCTCACAAACACTCTGAGGCAGGTTTCCCATTTTAAGGAAACTGAGGCTGAGAGAAGTTAAATAACTTCTTCAAACTTATACAGCAAAAAAGCCAATGTTCTGAGATTTAAACTTGGATCTTTCTCAGAATCCAAACTCGTAGCAACTGCTTTTTACTACTGCCATAGAGTTTCCAGCTCTAACATCCTAAAATTCTGTGACCTCGTTGTTCCTGAGAAGACAGGAGGTGGGGTGGAGGTAAACTTAGGTGATCTGGGTCGATTTTGGATTCTACTCTGTAGGGTCAGAATGAATCTGAGAGTCATCAGGATCCGCCTATGCCATTCTTTCAGTCAACAAGTACTCAGTCCCTTCTGTACAGCAGTGAGCCCAATAATGTGGAATCACAAAGAGGAATTAACACTGATCTTCCTTGAGAGCTTGTGGTCTAGAAATGGATATGAAGAGCAGGACTTGAAATCCAATTGCAAGTTAGGAGTGAGAAGAGTTATCATACACGTGCTTCTGTCCCCCTCTTCATGGGGGACTAAGGGGCAAGTAGTCAGGTGACATACTGTCCCTTATTCAGCAATAGTAACCTGTGATGACAAAGATCATGAACGCTGCAGTCAAACGTACCTTATATTTTGGCTCCACCAATGTACTAACTATGTGACTCTGGGTAATGTCATCTCTTGGGATCTCCATTTGCTCCTCTGGAAAATGGGAAGAGTAAGAGTGGCTACCTGTATTCATTTCCTGAGGCTGTCCCTAGAAATGACCACAACCTCGGTGACTTAAAAAAACAGGTATTTATTCTCTCACCATTCTGGGTGCCAAAAGTCTGAAATCAGGGCGTCAGCAGTCCACACTCCCTCCAAAGGCTGCGGGAGAACCCCTGCTTGCTTCTTCTAGCTCTTGGTGACTCCTGGTGCTATCATGTGATACCATAACTCTGCCTTGGTCCTTCCATATGGCCACTTTCTCTGCGTCCTTTTCTGTCTCTCATAAGGACACTTTCATTGGATTTAGGGCCCACTCTAATCCAGTATGGTTCGTCTTGACCCTTACCTTACTTGGGTCTGCAAAGCCCTTGTTTCCAAACAAGGTCACATTCTGAGGTTCCAAGTGGACATGAATTTAAGTGGGGACACTATTCAACCCACTACACTACCTCATGGGATTGTTGTGTGAGGACTAAATGAAATATGCATGGAAAGCATTCTGCACAGTGCCCAGCACATAATAAACAATAAATGTTAGCTGTACACGTGTATGCATGGGTGTGTATGGGTGTGTGTGTATATACACGTATATATATATATATATATATATATAAAAATAACTATTTTGTTATTTACTAGATTACCAAAGGTTGATTTCATTATTTATTTCACCAAAGGATGTAGTAACTTTTAATGTTTTTCACTCTTTGTGAGTTTTCTAATGTGTTGTTTCTGATTTCAAACTTTTACTGAACATTTACTGTATGCTAGGTGCCGTGTTAAGTCCTTCCCATTGCATTAACTCATTGGACCCACACAATATGCCTGTTGCTGAGGAAACTGAAGCTCAGAGAGCTTAAATAAATTGCCCAGGCAGGGTCACACAGCTAGTAAGTGTGGTGAAGCTGGGATCTGAACCCAGGTTCAGCTGACTCCAGAGTCCTACTTCTTAGCTGAAGTAGGTCCATCAGCGCATACGCTGGGTCTTGAATTTGCCTTCATTGAGTTCTTTGCCTTCCCTCTCTTCACTTGGGTTCTTTGAGCACATCATTTACCATCCTTTCCTATCAGCCTATTCATCTGATCTACTGGATAAATTACAAGTTCTTACTAGATGTTCTTCCAGCAAAGACTCATCCTTTCCTGACTAACCCTAACGGCTCTTCCTATTATTGCACAGTTCCCCTGTTAACAATTCTGTTTGTTCTTAACCCCATGAGTTAATGTTCGCTATTTGTCTTTTTTTTTTTTTTTGCGTTACGCGGGCCTCTCACTGTTGTGGCCTCTCCCGTTGCGGAGCACAGGCTCTGGACGCGCAGGCTCAGCGGCCATGGCTCACGGGCCCAGCCGCGGATCTTCCCGGACCAGGGCACGAACCTTTGTCCCCTGCATCGGCAGGCGGACTCTCAACCACTGCACCACCAGGGAAGCCCCCGCTATTTGTCTTTAGGTGCAGCTATATGTCTTAAGATTACATGAACATTATAAGAGCCCAGACTCTGGAGCCAGACCACTGGGATTTGAATCTCAGCTCTGCCACTTCCTGAGTGACCTTGAGTAAGTAATTTGACTTCTCTGTGCCTCACTTTCCTCATATGTAACATGAAAAAAAAATAATAATAACAATAATACGTACCTGTACAGTTGTGAAAATGAAATAAATTACCACGTTTCGAACACAAAGCAGATCCTGGCATGTAGAAAGTGCTCAATTAGTGTCAGTAGCTATTTTTACAATTACCTTCACATCATTGAACACAGGTTGTCTGAGTAGCTCTTCTCGTTACGTTTGTTGTTATTGAAATTTATTATTCTCTTTTTCTCCAAAATGTCTTGGATATTTGGGTAGTGTCCATTTTCTCAACAGGCAATCTCTCATTGTATTGGTAATATTCTCCAGTGAGCATTTTCTTCCTTTTTACTCAGGTGAGTATTTTGCTTGTCTGGTAGAAGTGGGTGATGTTTTTGTTCGTTGTTGAGAATTATTTTTCCCTAGCACCCCTTTGCGGTGTTAGAATGATCACCTTCCATAAATTACCCATAGATTCTTGTAGAGAAGATACACACTCTACTTTTAAGGTGTGAACTTCAGAATGTGTCTTTTTATTCTTTTTTTATCCTTAGTTATTCACTATACTCGTATCTTCCATCTAAATGCCTCTGTCTCTCCAGACCTGTATTATGCCACATTATATATTTCCTTGGGAAATCCTTGCAGCTCTGGCCCACCCCCATACCCACGCACATCCCCAGCTGGAGTGCCATGAGTGGGTCAGTCCATGTCCTGGATAGCTTTGGGCGCTAAACCATGCCCTGGAGTCTGCATTGGGCTCTTCAGCAGGGTCTTGAGGTCTGTGATCTGGAACTGATTCTGACCAGAGTCCAAACTGGACTCCAGACGGACTCTGGGCTCCAGACAGAGCTCCCTTGGCCCTGGCTGAGAGGCAGATGGGCTTTGGGTTGGTCTGCACTCTGAGTACCTGCCTTGGCCCTGGACTCTAAGCTGGGCTCGAGCTAATTAGACTCTGGACAGCTAAAGCTCAACCCAGACTTTTGCTTCCCCCCCAGTGGTGTCCATTTCTGAAAGGAAAGGCCAGCCAGTGGGCACACGGAAGGAAACACTGGACTATTTATTGCAAAGCTAGATTGACAGTACAGGCCGCAAGGAAACAGACCAAAGAAGGCCCTTCTATAACAGAGGAATCGGGGAACAAGAGAAGGAGAAAGGGGATGAGGGAAGTGAGCAGAGACACATAAACGGCCACCTCTTCCACCCATTCTTCTGCTCCTGGGACCTTCCCTGTCAAGAAAAGCTCTTCTGTTGTGCTTGTTTCTATCTGTCTCTGGGCATTGCTGGCAACACATTCCCCAGGCTGAGGTCTCTGATGAGCACAAAGGAATTCGAAAGAACCTGCACATCTGAAAAGCCAGACCCAAGTCAGAGGAAGCGTTATCAGTCACTTCTCAGAGCTCTGCCCCGGCAGGAAATGCAGACCTGTCTGGTCTGCAGTCCAGGACAAGTCCACTGAGGGCCCCTAGGGCGGCAGGAATTCCACCATCTCAGCTTCACCGCCCCTTAAGTATTAGGCGGGTTTTCCCATCTCCAATGAAGAACCTACAAAAAAGGTGGTCCAGTGAGGTCTCTGCATCTCCGGGAGAGACCCAACCCTCCATCGAATGCCTCCAGGCCCAGAATTCTCCAGAGAGATGCCTTCCTGAGCCTCTCCAGCCTCAAGAGCCAGATCTCCCTGGGGAGAGGGAGAAACTCTTTCCTGTTGGGTCTCTAACCCTTTTCCTGAAGATCCCCATCTCTACCATTCTGAAAGCATCAGAGAATTACTTGTGATGCTTTTCACTAATCTGTAGGCTAAGCCAGGACTGCAGACAGGCAGTGATGCAAGCAGTCTAGACCAGCTCAGCCCAGTGCCTGTCCTCGTCCAGACAGCGGGCACTGTACCTACTTGTATCCCTGCACAACCTGGAGTAGAAAGGAAGGACACTCTGGATCCTTGAGGTTCACAAGAAGAGAGCTGGAGGAGAAGCAGTCAAGCGGATATTATCCTTCTGATAACACTATCAACCTTCTTACCCATTGCCCAGCTCCAGGGAGCACTGCTCACATTGTGTCTTATGTGATTGGCATCTCATGACATGCATGCTCTTGGGGACACCACTAACATGGTGTTCTATGTGGACAGGGTCCCTTGAGTTGTACAACACCCCTGTGGGGAGCTATTTCTCCCCTACTTTCAGTCCATACAGTTGTTCAGATGAGGCTGACCTCACCCCAACTCCAGGATAAGATTCATGCTCCAGACATAGCCAATAAGAGTGCCTGGCCCCATGGCTACAGAGATCGATTCAGAGGTAGACATGGCCCAAGCTGGACCAGTCCAACTCAGAGAACAGCAGAGCCAGAACCTTTGTAAGAGCTGTTGTTCTGTTTCCTCTGTTTCCAGCTATTAACCTGCTAGGATGTAAGTCTGGAGTGCCTGGTGGGCATCTTTGCCTCTACTGGAGAGCCTATCCAAGCATGAAATCTACCCAGAGGACAGTAGAGCCTAAAAAGACCAAGCCCTGAAGACACTGTCTGAGCTCCCACCAAAGCCAGGGCCACTTGTGAACTTTTCAATTATGTGAGCCAATGAGTTCCCCTTTATGATGAAAGCTTTGTTCAGATGGATTTCTGTCACTTGCCACCAAAGGTCCCAGAGCCATAATCTTTGCCTCTGAAGAAGGCTTCCTCTTCTCTTCTCCAAACCCAAGCGAGACCCTAGCCCTCTAGACCTGGATGTTCTAGGAACTGTCACCATGCCCACCAGATGGGCCATGACCCTGTGTCACATTCCTACCTGATGAGCACTCCTACAAGCAGGCTGGCCAGGAGCGGGCCCAGCCAGTAGATCCAGTGGAAGTCCCAATGGTTGGCCACCACAGCCGGTCCAAAGGCACGGGCAGGATTCATGCAGGCTCCAGACACAGCTCCCCTACAAACACCCAGCCACAATGGTCGGCAGAATCTCAGCCAAGGAGCCCCGACTCACCCAAGTTCATTTCCCCAAGTAGGCCTAAGTCACATGCTACCCAGAAACCCCCTCTAAGCTACCATATCATGGCGATCTGGGAGGTTCCAAAGTGAAAGGCTTGACCCCCTCCCCAGAGTCCTCCCTACAGTCTGCCACTCCCCACACACCCTTCTAGAAGCATGGGCAGCAAGTAGTGCCTGTTCAGTGACGGCAGGAAGGAAGATGGATCCTCCTCCAGAAGTGGTAAGGCAAAGGAAGCAGTTTTCAGCTACATGAACTTCGGGGTCAAGCAGACCTGGATTCAAAACCCAGCCCAGCCATTTCTAGCTATGACCTTTGTTTAACCTCTCTGTGTTTCAGCTGAGATGAAAGTACATATCTCATAGAGCCCATGTTTCTCCTATAATTCATGTGCAAGTGCTAACTCTAATCTAGCTGACCTGGTTGAGGCCTTTGTTGCACCACAAGCTAGGGACCCAGCATCTCCCAAAGAGGGACTGTTCCCCAAGAGCACCTCTCTAGTCCCAGTGTCTGTACCCTTGCCCCATTCGCTCAAGCTGGGGTCCTCACTCAGGCCTCACCCGTCACAGACCCCACTCTGTGGCCAGCAGCCAAAGCCAACTGGATGAGTCAGTAGGCTTGTAAGTGAACCAAAAGCCACTAGGAGGCATCAAAGCACTGCCACAGCTCTGCACATGCATTTCCCCAGACTCCACCTCCCAAAGGATGACTTAGGGCTGGAGGCAGAGCAGAGAAAGGCTACACTTGGTCCTGTGTCCAAGAAGAAAGGAAGGAGTTGGCCTGTAGGAAGGAGCTCCCTCATCCCCTATATTTAGCAGGGGCCCTTGTCCCAGATCTCTCATTTAATTTGCCACTTCCCAATGACCTTAAATAAGTCACTTGTGTCCTCTCTGAGCCCCAGTTTCCTCATATATAAAAGGGAAGAAATAATCCTTTGTCTCCTTAATCCCTTCCCAAGCCTACTGAGAGGCTCTAGACAAATGAGACAACGGGTGTGGAAGCTCTTTGTAAGTCTGAGGCTAAAACCTGGCTGCCTGCTGGCAGGATAAACACAGTCCACAGACATGGTTTATTGATACTACAAAAAGTAGAAAATTCACATAAAAATCCAGTCTTCTGACTTCCCTAGAATGAAATTAGAAGGGTCACCCCAAGCCCATATTCCCACACAGCGATAACTTATCAGAGGTGTGTGGTGGTGGCCTCCTTAGATGCCACAGTCCCCACCATTCCCTGTTGTCTGCCTCCTGCCAGCCCACTTCCCCCGTGTACGTTACCTGTGTGGCTTCTATTGGAAACCCTCAGGTAAGCTCAGCAGACCTGCCCTCCTCCAGGGGTGAGCCTCGGCCCAGGGCTGAGCACTGTGGTCCCACAGCCAAGGGGCACTCACCCTGCTAGGATGTCCACGGTGACAGAGAAGCCGACGGAGAATGGGGCCAGAGGACCCTGCGTCTTCTCGTTTATGGTGCCCATGCATACAGCCAGCGCCAGCAGTGTCGTCAGGATGATCTCTGCCACCACTGCCCCCGTCACCTGCCTGGGCTCCTGGACTGTCACGAAGGCTGCCCCAGACGCGTTCCAGAACCTCTCCTCAGAACTCACCGCCTGCAGAGAGCAGTGCTCAGCCTCATGTTGCGGGTGGAGAGACAGCTGGGAGCTGACGGGAGGGGCCCATCCTTTTGAGCCAGGGAAGGGTCCTGTCCAATGTGCAGTTAGACGTATCTGGACCCACATCCCAGCTCCACCAGTTCCTACTGTGCGGCTTTGCCTGAGCTTTTGGACTTCCCTAAGCCTCATTTTGCTCTTCTGTAAATGGGGATAACCCAGCGGTGGCTCCAGGTATTGTAGGCCTGAAGGGTATGTAACTTATATGACCCTCTTTGAGAAAGAATACTAAAATGTCTTATTTTTACAAACTTTGCAAACACATATACCCAGGTAAACACATTACCAGCCCCCTAAAAGGCCCCTTCAAAGGGATGAGAACAGCCCTGAAGCTTAAGCCCCATTGGCTTCCCAGGAAATCGGCCTTGGGGTCATCACGACACCTGGGAAGGGAAGACTGCAGTGCAGACAAGCTTCTGGACCCGGGACTCAAATCCAGGCTCAGCTGCTCCCCAGTTCATTTGAACTTGGGCAAATTATTGCCTTCTCTGCGCCTCTGCTTCTGCCTCTGTAAAGTAGGCATGGTCATGGTAATAGCCCTGGGCCCAGGTGGGGAGTGATCTTTAAGGACTGATGCAGGCTTCCAGTCAAGTTGGAGATTAAATGAGAGGATTCTACCAAGTGCTCGGGGAGGTGGGAGGGCACCCAGTGATTGACCACTTCTGCCCCACACTGGTCTCCATCATGTTGGACAAGTTTACAAGTGACCAGGCCTGAGGGAGAGTCCCAGCACTGCTTTCCATTGGGAATCAGAGCAGCAAGGTCTGGGCCCCATTCTAAACAGACAGGGGAGCAGGGTCTCAAATGGGGGCACAGGGAGACCAGGGCAGGGACGACAGCAAGATGGAATTCGAGACCAAAGTCTGCAATGGGCAACGCTTAGAGACACAGACCAAACCCCAGGCAAGCTAACAGGGTGCCCCCTTCACCGCTTTCCACCTCCCCACTCCCTCCAATCCCACCCCCAACACAAGCCAAGCAAGGCCTCCAATTTGAAGGGTCCCTGGTTGAGACTTCAGAACAGCAGGAAGGAAAGAGAGAGAAGGAAAGAAGGAAACAAGGAAGTCAGGCAGGCAAAGAGGGAGGAGGGAAGTCCTTCCATGGAGTTACGTGTAGAGCTATAGAAATTCTGTGGCTTGAGAGGAAGAGCTAGCCTTCCTACCAGAATGGGAGGATTCCAGTAATTTGAGCATTAACTCCCATTTAAGGTAGAGTAACTCAGTTTAAAGGCAGGCAAACTGGAGAACACACAGAGAAGTTAGTTCAGGAGTTTCTCAAGGAGAATAACCCTGTATATCCTGTACCCTCAGACAGTGCTTAGTGAGATGTTTGTAGCATGAATGAAGTGAATGAATGAATGAATGAAAAAAATAGAATTGTCTAAATCCAGAAATGGACTCAGGAGCAGAAACCTTGAGTCCTGAATTCTGCTTCCTGGTTTGTCTAGGGAGGGCTGTGTCCAGACACAGACAGAACAGGGTGGGTTTGGAGGAAACCAAAGGCCCTTTGAGTGTCCCCTCCAAGGTAGAAAGGTCCACCCAATCCCATGGGAGGCAACAGGAAAAGAATTGGACAGGACTTCCCTGGTGGGGCAGTGGTTAAGAATCCGCCTGCCAATGCAGGGGACATGGGTTCGAGCCCTGCTCCGGGAAGATCCCACATGCCGCGGAGCAACTAAGCCCATGCACCACAACTACTGAGCCTGAGCTCTAGAGCCCGCGTGCCACAACTACTGAGCCCACGCGCCTAGAGCCCGTGCTCCACAACAAGAGAAGCCACTGCAATGAGAAGCCCGCGCACCACAAGGAAGAGTAGCCCCTGCTCACCCCGCAACTAGAGAAAGCCCATGCGCAACAATGAAGACCCAACGCAGCCAATCAATCAATCAATCAATCAATTTTTTTAAAAAAAATTGGACAGTCCCCATTCCCTGCCCCTCACCCACCCCAGCAGCCCCATCAGAGCAAAAGCCCCCAGCGCAGCCCCCTGGGGGATCACCCACCTTGGCCAAGGCAGCCCCAATCAGCCCCCCACACAGCTGGGAGATCCAGTAGGGAAGCAGCATCATCAGGTGGAGGCCTCCGACCAGCATGGCTGCCAGGGACACCGCAGGGTTGAAGTGTCCACCACTGTCACCCACAAAAGCAGAAGGAGTCGTGAGGCCAAGGCCCAGGCACTGGGCCCCAGCAGCCCCACCACCTCCCCAGATGGCCTTGCAGGGCTGGAGTCCGTCAAGGGCAGCCCAGGTAGAAAACAGGCACCAAATTACGCCCACTTTCCCCGAGGTGCCAAGTGGTGGGGGAGAGCCTGGGAGGGGAGGGCAGCACCATTCCTGTCCTACACCCAGACCCCACGGTGGCCCAGACAAGAATACGGTGGGAAATTGTCCCTCAGCTCTTTCCAGACCCCTAAGAGCTGCATCCAGCCCTTCAGACCCGTGGCCACAGGTCAGAATGAGACCCCAAGCTTCAAACTCACAGCCCAAGACAGGTATCCTAGCCTCCCCTTAGAAGAAACCAGGCCCTGAACAACAGCTCCTGACTGGTTGAACTCAACCAATAAAATTTTTTATTGGTGGAACTCAACCAGTAAAATTTCTATTTTTGGTCTGAAAGTGTGACTAGTGTTGCCTGTAAAATTGAGATTAGAGGTTCCTGGAAATGGCACTGGGAATCAGGATCGAGGCTAGAGGTTCATGATTAAGTTGGGATTGGGATCTGGAGTTTGGGATGTGAAGGGGATTAGACCAAGTCGAACCTAGGTCAAAGGGCTGGTTCAAGTTGGCTGGTCCTTCCAGAAGGTATGGGCCAAGAGCCTTCCTTTTCACCAAGATGCTCAACCAGTCCAAGCCCCAGAGCCTACAGGCGCCCCCAGTGCCTGCTACCCCCATTGGCATCCTATCCAGTCCCACTCAGATGAAGGAACTATCCTGAGAGGTTGGCTCACCAATCCCCCTGGTGCCTGGGATGGACACACCCAATAAGAGGGACAGTGACCCCAAGGCCCCCCCATGTCAACCCAGATGTTTAGAGCCCACCAATGGGCCTGCCCACCCAATGGGCACAGGGCATTGAGCTGAGACTGGACAAAGGACGCTGGCTCTGGACACAGGGACTTTGTCCAACATGCTGACATTTCAGGACCAGCTGCCCCAACTTGTCAGGTGCAGCTCTGTGCACAGGCCCTTGGGTGAGCTTCCTGCAGGATCAGGAAGCACCAGCTGATCTCAGACTTGACCGGCAGGGAGAGGGGCAGCCAGGCTTACTTGGCCTCAATTCAGGTCCATGACCAAACTTAGCCTGGGCTCTGCCAAAGCAGAGAGGTGAAGGTGGAGGTGGGGTGGCCTCCTGCAGGAGGGAGACTTAGAACCCTCTCGGCCATCAGCCTCACCACCAGGTCCCGCAGCCCAAACGGGGAGAGACACTGTCACTCAGAGTGTGGTTCTACCAGGAGAAGGCTGGGACACTTCACACTCATTAACAGTAAAACAATCAAGACACCTTCTTAGTTTACTCATCCATGGTTTGCTCAACAAATACTTATTGAACACCTACTCTGGTGCTAGGTGCTGTGTCGGGCGCTCCAATAACCTCAGAGTCAGTGCCGGGCACACGGTAGGTACCGAATAAATATTTGTTGACAAAAAACAGATGGCTGAATAAAAGGCTGGCATTTCAGGTAGGCAGTCTCCTGCAGCACAAAGCGATGTTCTCTCCTGCCAGCTGGCCTGGGTTCAAACCCTAGCTCTGCCACCGAAGAGCTGTATGACCGTGGGCAACTTATATAACCTCTCTGTGCCTCAGTGATCCCTACTTCATGAAGGCTGTTGCAAAGATAATTAATACATGTTCATATAGAGTACTAGCATATAGTTAGTACTCAATAAATATCATTTATTATTACCATCCCCTTTTATTCCACTGAACATAGAGAGGTTCAGCTAATTGCCCTGGTCACCCAGCTAAGCAGTGACAAGGGTTGCCTTCAATCCCAGACCCGTCGTCGAACAGAAGACTCTGTGTTTTTCATCCCACCTGCAGCTTCCCTTAGATATTTAAAGAGAAATATTAAAGTTCTCTTTCCATTCTGCTTTTCTAGGAAACAGTATTTCAATTTCCTTACTCAGATCAGTTTTCTGTGTGAGATTAAATACAGACCAACCAGGTTCTAGAGGCCCCTGACAGACACTCCATCCAAGACATTTGTCATTGTGGTTGGTTCTCCTGGGAGCCCACGACCTCCCGGTGGAGCTCCTGTCCAGGGGAGGGCTATGCAAGGGGAACTCTTCAGGCCTCCCTGCCCCCACCCCCGGCGGGTTCTTCTGCATAACTCTGCCTTACCCTAGGCTGGAGCAAAACGCCCCGTCCTAAAGGTAACAATAACACAGCAACCAACAGTGACTGAGCGCTTACTACAGACTAAGCTCTTCACATCATTTCATTCTCATGCCTCCCCTAGGAGATGCTGGGTTTAGGACAGACAGCTTGGGTTTGCCTCCTGGCTCTACCATGGGACTCTGGACGAGTTACCTGGCCTTTCTCCTTCATGTGTTGGCTTGAGAAATAAGATTTAGAAAATACTCCCACTGTTCGCATTTCATAGGTGGGAAGTTTGGGTTTGGGGACTGACTTAGTCAAAGCCACAGAGCTCACAGGCTGAAGAGCCAGGATTCAAACCCAAGCAGCCTGACCCCTCACCCAACCCACATTTTACCCATAATGCTTTTGGGATCCTGGGCATGTGTCCAGGGGTCCTGCCCACAGCTCTGCTCCCTGCCTGGCTCCCCAGGTTGGCACCAGGCAGAGTGCTCAGAGCTGTTCCCACCTGATACTCCCCAGCGTGGCGATGACCAAGCCCAGGGCCAGCCCATGGGCCAGTGCCGGCTGCAGCAGCCCAGTGTCGGTCCCGTTCTCGATGACCGACAGGCAGCCGATGAAGATGAACAGGGCAGAGCCCAGCAGTTCAACCAGGCAGGGCTGCACAAACCGCTCGTACCAGCACCCACGCCACCTGCCCCCCTCGCTGGGCTCCTTCACCTTGACGCCACCGAACTCCAGGTCACACATGGATGCAGCTGCCTGAAGGGGGGGAAACGGAGGGGGACACGGATGGGAGGAGAGCCCAGAAAGAAGCCCCCCAGTGCCCCCATCTTGAATCAATTCTCAGCACCCGCTTGGATGGCCAGGCTGCAGAGGAGGAGGCCAGCAGTGTACTCACCTCTGCAGACATCAGGGCGGAGGTGACTCAGGACGGGACTCTGGCCTGCGCTGGCTGGAAAACTCACACCTGCTCTCCAGGACAGGACACTCTTATCTCCAGGACCGGGGCTGCCAGCCCACTACAGGCTCTGCCCTTTTTAAAGGGCTACAGAGGCTCCCGAGGGTGTCAAGAAAGCAATAAAGCCCAGCAGGAGGCGGCCCTGAGGCCCAGGAGAGGAAACACTGCTTTTAACCTTAACCAGGCAGGGCAGGGGGTGACCAAGGATTGCTGAGCTCTCTGCCAGCAAAGGCAAAAGGCGTCGGCTTCGCTGCGTCACCTGGGGAGGGCTCCAGGTCTGCCCCAGCAGGAGATGGAGGGCCCTGATCCCCAGCCCCCTTGGTCACCACCGGGGCCCAGAGGAGACCCACGTGTGTGAGTGAACACGAGGAGGGCCCCGCCAGATCAGGACCACACATGGGAAGTAACGGTAAACTCATCTTCAGTGATTTTTCCACGGACTTCTAAGGACACCTCCTTGTGTCTGAGGCCCCGGCACCTCCACAGACTCACGCTGATAGGCTGATCCAGGACTGAGGGTGTAGACGGATGACCATCTCTGCAGATTGCAGAGGCAATGGTAAAGCCTGTGGACTTTGGAAACAGGCTGCCTGGATTTCAATCCCAGCTCCTCCGTGAACCAGCTGAGTAACCTTGAGCAGTTGCTTACCCTCTCTGCACCTTATTTTTTCTCCCGTGCAGCATGGATGATAGTGGTTGTACCAATGACATCGGGTTGTGTGGCTTAAATAAGTTAAGATCATAAAGTGTTTATGACAGAGTCAGACACATGATAAGCACAATACCAGTGCCTGCTGATTTAGAATATGTATTTATGTGAACTAATATTTACTGAGCACTTTCTAAGTACTGGTCTAAGTACCTTATATGTATTATCTCATTTAAACTTCACAACAACCCCATGAGGTAGGTACTATTATTACAGCCACTTTACAGATGAGGAAGTGGAAATTCGGGAAGGTTAAGTTTCCCAGGATCACACAGCTTTTGTGATTGTGGGCTAAGTCACAAAAGGACAAATACTGTGTGATTCCACTTATGTGAGGTACCTAGAGTAGTCACATGCATAGAGACAGAAAGTAGCATGGTGGCTGCCTTGATCTGGGAGGAGGGGAGAATGAGGAGTTATTGTGTGATGGGTACCCAGTTTCAGTTGGGGAAGTTGAAAAAGTTCTGGAGGTGTTGCACAACAACATGAATGTACTTAATATCACTGAACTATACACTTAAATGGTTAAAAGGGTAGATTTTGTGTTACACATATTTTGAATTGAAAGAAAAAAAAAACCTGTGGGTAAAGCCACTACACTCACAACTGAAAGAAAAAAACTTGTGGGTTAAGCCTTTCTAAGATGATGGATGGATGGATGGATGGATGGATGGATGGATGGATGGATGATGGAAGAAGAGATGGATGGAAGGATCGGCAGATGGGTGGGTGGATGGATGGAAAGAAAGAAGGAAAGAAAGGAGGAAGGGAAGGAAAGAGAGATGGGTTTCCTTACTCATACATTCAAAGATGCTCAAACATTCAACAAATATTTACATACCTACTGTGAACCAGCCACTGTCCTAAGAGCTGGCAGGAAATGTAGCGGTGATCAAGACAGACAAAGATGCTGTTTCGATGTTCATATAACTATTATCTGAGCATTGTATGTAGAGATAGAGAAGTAATGTCAGGGATAAGAGAATTTTAATGAAAATTTCCACCATTTATTGATAACTCATTACCCATCTAACGCTGTGCTAAGCGCTCTGCACACGTTCACAACAGCCCTATAAGTCCTATGACTTCTTATCCCCATCTTCAGATGATAAAAATGAGGCACAAAGAAGTTGAAGAACCTGCTCAAGATCGTGTAGATGAAAAGCATCTGCTTCAGGACAGAAGTAGACGCCTCTGGACAAGGGTTTGACAGTTTGCTGAGAGCTCTTTGCAGCTCGAGGCCCTGGAACGCAGCGTCTCTATTGAACATTTGCATATCTCAGAAGGTTTTGGGGCTGCTCTCTTGCTGGTTATCTTGAGACCTGTTCTCTCCGTCCTCTGCACCCACAGCACATTGTACAAGATGTTTCTTATTCCCCTCCTCCCTGCAACATAAGATGGTTGTCCAACCCTCAACTCCCCCATCTCCCTCATTCTTTGCCCAAGTCCTGCCAAGTGCTGCTCCTGGAATATTTCTCTCCTGTTTTCACCCAAGCCTTCATCGGTTCTTACTTAGGCTCTTGAAAAAAAATTAAATATTCATTATACACCTGCCAACTGCAGACCCTACACTGGACACCACACATGCATTCCTTCAATAATTAATATTCACAATAATCTATTATTTTCCCACTTCACAGGTAGGAACTCCCAGCTGGTATTACTACAACAACTCCTCATCTGGTCTTCTTGCTTCAACCAATTTCTTTTTTTTTCTTTAATTGAAGTATAGTTGATTTACAATGTTGTGTTTATTTCTGCTGTAAAGCAAAGTGATTCAGTTATACATATATATATATATATATACATTCTTTTTCATATTCTTTTCCATTATGGTTTATCACAGGATATTGAATATAGTTCCCTGGGCTAAACAGTAGGACCTAGTTGTTTATCCATTCTATATAAAATATTTTGCATCCATTAACCCAAATTCCCAGTCCATCCCTTTCCCACCCACCCCCTTGGCAACCACAAGTCTGTTCTCTATGTCTGATGCCTCACCCAATTTCAATCCATTCCTTTAAAACTGGCAACCAGCAGGGCACAGTTTGGCACTTGGGTCCAGGTTTGGGGATCAAGCTTCTCCACCTGTGCCCCCTAGCTTCTCTCTCAGCCTCAGTTTTCTTGTATGTAAAAGTGGGCTAATGATGGTACCCATCCCCATAGAATTGGTGTATAGATTAAGTGAGACAATGCCCTTAGTACAGTGCCCAATTCAGAGCAGGTGCCCAACAACTAGTAGCTCTTATTATGGTTCTCATTAGTCAGAGTAGGTGTGTAACAAATAACCCCAACATTTCAATGGCTTAACATAGTAAAAATTGATTCCTTGTTCACAGAATAGTCCAGAGCAGGCCCTTCATCACATGGTGACTCAGGGAGCCAGGCTACTTCCACCTTGGAGATCCACGATCTAGGTCCTCAGATCATCTGCACCAGCCAGCCAATGGGGGAAGAGAATGTGGAGGACTGTGCAGGGGGTGGTTTGTGGGGTAGGCCTAGAAATGGCAAATACCACTTCCTTCCATATTTGATTGATTAGAACTCAATCACATGGCTTCACCTGGCCACAGAAGAGTCTGGGAAACACAGTCTAGCGGTGTGACCAGAAGGAAAAAGAAAGGCATTTTGTGAACGCCCAGAAAATTTCTACCACACCACATGGTGGTTGCTGTTGTTCCCCAGCCTGTCAATCTAATCCCATCCTTCCCTGACTTCAAACTTTCTAGCACCTTCTGTGGCAGTCAATGCCAAACTCAACTCCCACAGCAGCCACACAGGTCTACCCTGGACTCAACTCCTGCCACATGAACCACCATAAAGGATTTGCCAGGTAAGCCCTGCACCCTGACCCCCTCCCTGCCCATGCCATCCCCTCTGCTTGAAGTTCTCTTTTGCCCTCTTGGCCAACTTCTACTGCTCACTCAAGTCTCAGATCCAGATATTTGTCCTCCCTGACTCCTGGGCCAACTAGCTGTCAGTACTTGCTGCATGCCCCTCCCCCACGAGAGCCAGGATTGGACTCAGTAGCTCCAAAACCAGTGGTTCTCCTGAGAAAATCTGAATGTCATTCAAGCAAAACAATGTATTTCCACAACGTGAGATTTTTGTGTGGCCTGATGTCTCCACATGCAATGCACTGATCTCCCAAACCACCAGGATAACCAGTACACTAGGGAAATGATGTCTTCCTAAGAAATTGTTTGACTGGAAAACTTTTCAGCCTTCCAATCCCAGGTCTGGTTGACATGACCAAAGCCTCTAATTTTTATCTTTGTTTGCACAGAAACATTTTAAGACATCTCTGCATCTGTCGGCACCTGTCTGCCATCCACCACCAGGTCCAAATGGAGTATAAAAGCAGGTTGCATCTTATCCTGACAAACCACTCTATCCTCCTTTCTCATATTGATGGCTGCACACATGTGCAGGACATGTTCACTTATGTCATGGTCCTGGCACTCATTGCCATCATTGTCATGGGCCTTGTTAAATTGTGCCAGGGACATTCTGAGCACTTGCAGAGTACTCTGCCCTTTCTCGTACTCAAGTTGGGACACCCTTAATTTTGTAACAGAAGAAATCAAAAACCCAGAAAGAAATTTGCCCCGGCCATTGGGATTTCTATGCCAATTATGACACTCATCTACATCCTGACCAATGAGGCCTATTACACAGTTCTGAGCATTTCAGATGTCCTTGGCAGTAATGCCATGGCTGTGACATTTGCTGACCAGACATTTGTCATGTTTAGCTGGACCATTCCCATTGCTGTTGCCCTGTCCTACTTTGGGGCCTCAACACGTCTATCTTTGCTTCATCAAGGTTGTTCTTTGATGCACTGTTGTGGGAAAAATGTGATGTTGGTGCCATGGCAGCCACCTTGAGATCATGAGGTGCAACTTGCCAGAAGTGTGGATCCTTGATGACATCAAGGCCCCAGACAACCCCAAGACCAGCTACTCCAGACTTCTTGTTAAATAAACGTGCACTTCCCAGAGAGCACCCCAGAGAGAGTGAATTCATAAAGTGGCTGTGGTATATTTTAAATTTTCAAGGGAAATAAATTGATGCTCAGTATCTGTCAGACAGGGTGTCATTTACTAGCTCAAGGTAGTTCACAGTTTTCTATTAGATGGCCCTACATTCCTTTCAATTACATCATATCTTTGCAAACCTGGTTTTATGGGTGTTGCCATATTAATAATAATAATTAAGAAAAACACGTGCTGCATGAAAATCAGTGTGGAAAAGG